TAATGTGCACTCTGGAAGGCCATGGTGATGGTTCAAGTACTTGGGTCTCTGCTACCCATATGGGAGACCCAGACTGAATTCTGGGCTCCTGGTTTCTGCCTGGCTGAGCCCTCATTGTTGCAGGCATTTGGAGAGTAAACCAGCGGATGGAAATTTGTGTGTGTGTGCTTGTGCGTGTCTTTCCAAAATAAAAAAATAATTTTTGGGGGAGGGGTTGGTGCTGTGGCACCACAGTGTGCCACCAGCATCCCAAATGGGTGCCAATTCATGTCCCAGCTGCTCCACTCCTGATCCAGGTCCCTGCTAATGTGACTGGGTAAGTAGTGGACCATGGTCCAAGTATCTGGGTCCCTGCACCCATGTGGGAGACCTGAAAGAAACTACTGGCTCTGGACTGGCCCAGCTCCAGCCATTGCAGCCATTTGGGGAGTAAACCAGTAGATGGAAGCCCTCTCTCTCTACCTTCAAATAATATAAATAGATCTTTAAAAGAAAATTTTAAAAGATTTTATTTATTTATTTGAGAGGCAGAGTTACAAACAGTGAGAGGGAGAGACAGAGAAAAAGGTCTTCTTTCCTCTTGTTCACTTCCCAATTAGCCACAATAGCCAAAGCTGTGCCGATCCAAAGAGAGAAGCCAGGAGCTTCTCCCAGTCTCCCACGTGGGTGTAGGGGCCCAAGCACTTGGGCCATCTTCCACTTCTTTTCCAGGCCATAGCAGAGAGCTAGATAGGAAGAGGAGCAGCCGAGACTCGAACTGGGGCCCACATGGCATGCTGGCGCTGCAGGCTGGGGCTTTAACCCACTGTGCCACAGCGCCGGCCCCAGAAATATTTTTTTTAAAAGATGGAAAAGGCATCTGCAGTTTCAAGCATCCATGGAGCAGGGAGTGGTATCTTGGGATGGCTTCCCCATGGATAAAGGAGGACTACCTTATAATGCTTTGCTTGTAGGCTTTATTGACTACACCCTATGATGAGAAATCATGCTGCACACACATCTATGCACACACACCAGTGACTGCCATATACAAGCTCGACATACCAGTCATTAGCTTCATTAGGAGCAGTGCACTTAGATGTTATCTATTTATTTTTTAAAGACTGACTACTCAGTAGCTGCTGTTACAGCACACTGTGACGCTAAGACTGGAAATCACCAATGGGCATCCTCTTACTCTCCTGCTGCCGGGCTCCTTACTGCCGAGATCAGTGATTTTCATCCTCCAGCATTCTTTTAAAGTGTGGGACATGAACAACAAGGAGCACTACCATTGCTCTCATGCCCATGGGATGGGGGGGGGGGCAGGCGAATAAATCAGTAGGTCTCTACGAATGAGACCAGGTAAGGGGTTAATTCCAAAGCAGGATGAGTGAAACCCACTCAGTTTCCAATGCTGGCTCAGGAGCAGGAGTGGGAAAGGACAAACAGCCCTTGAGCAGAGGCCCTCCCTCGTCCCATTCAAGGGTGGTAAAAAGGACATCTGGTTACAAGGATTTCCAGCCCCACCACACCCACATGAAAGTGGAGCAGCCCTCTGTTGGGGACAGAGAAGCCTGTCTTCAGTCATGAGAAAATAAGAGGGGTCTTCAAAGAGTTCATGGGAGAAGTGTATTATGAAAAAGTTATGCATGGATTTCAAAACTCTCAGCACCAAGGTAAGCTCATCTTTTCATTCCATTCCACAAACTTTTTGAAGCACCTACATAGCCACATGTCAGGACTGATTTCTCCCATGAAGAGTAAAACCTTCAGAAAACATTGTTCTGAAATTATATCACCTCAGATTACTTCAGAGAAGTAAGATTTCCCACAATTTTCTTGTGCTTTTTGAAGGATAACATCTCTCTCGTTTTCCCAAAACTGCAGCTGCAGTCATTGTCTGTTACACAACTCCTATAATAAAAGGACTCATGAAATAAAATAAATGACTTCTTAACTTCAGTGCTGGAGAAAGTCAACTCCCTTAAGACATTTTTTACTGGGTGCAGGAGTTGAGATGCCACTTAGGATGCCTGTACCCCCATCAGAGTGCCTGGATCTGAGGCCTGGCTCTGTTTCCAATCCAGCTTCCTGCTAATGTGCACCCTGGGAGGCGGCAGATGGGGGCTCAGGTGGAAGAGTCCCTGACAGCCATGTGGCTGGACCGAGCCTGGCCTAACCCCACCTGCTGAGGGCATCTGGGAAGTAAGCTAGAGAGGAAAGATCTGTCTGCCTCTTTCTAATAAATGAAACAAACTCCTTCCTAAAAACACATTTTTTATGTTTTGCTCTGACACACTCCACACCCCACCCAGACAAGAGACACATAACCCATAGAGATTCCCTTTCTTCCTTCCTTTAAATACTAAGCTTCTTAATACTCAGTGTCCAACTAGATTACTCACACCAGGTACATGATAACAATTATTTTTCTGTTCACATCAACTGTTTGCTCTGCTAAATTTAAATGACTTTATTATTTCATATGGAATTGCCTTGAATTTTAAAAATCTATTTCAAATTCTTTCCTGAAAGCAAGTAGAAAAAAATCCTAATGAAAATCGAACTCAGGAGAATTGCCTCCAAGTCTAGGGCCACCCCAAAGAAATAAAGCAAAGCTTCTTTTGATAGCTCTCAGTCCATAACTATAAAAAAAGTATCTTCTTTGTATCACCTCCTTCCTAAGAAACTGGACACACTGTGCTGCTAGATTTAACGAAGGAAAAAACAAACTTTCTCTTTTCTGGATCTGCCTCCAAGGCAGTTTTTTCTACTTAACAGAAATTTCCCAGCCTACCTCCAGGCCCTGGGAACCAGGCTCCTGGAAAGAGGCAGTCTTGAGTGTAGCACCCACACCAGCACTGCCACCCCTTACGTCTGGGTGCAGAAAATCCAGGCAAAACGTGAGACTTAATAACAAGCATTCGTTGACCCCTGATTTCACAACCTGAGGATGAGTAATAAGTTGTGGACTTGATCAAAGGCTGTTGTCCTCACAGGAAAACAAACAGCCAAAATCAGACATGCTCAGTTCTATTCTCAGAATCAAGATGCAGGGCCAGCACTGTGGTACAGTAGGCTAAGCCTCTGCCTGTGGTGCCAGCATCACTTGTGGTGCCGGTTCTAACCTGGCTGCTTCTCTTCTGATTCAGCTTCTGCCATGGCCTGGGAAAGCAGTGGAAGGTGGCCCAAGTGCTTGGGCCCCTGCACCCATGTGGGAGACCTGGAAGAGGCTCCGGGCTTCAGATCAGCTCAGCTCCAGCCATTGTGGCCATTTGGGGAGTGAAGCAACAGATGAAGAGGCCTTTCTCTGTCTCTCCCTCTATCTGTAATTCTACCTCTCAAATTAAAAAAAAAAAAATCAAGATGCAAAGGAAGGCATTATTCTGGCTTTCTCAGAAGGCCTAGTCAAGTTTTAGATATCTGCACTCCTATTTCTTTTCTTTTTTTTCTTTTTATTTTTTTGACAGGCAGAGTGGACAGTGAGAGAGAGAGACAGAGAGAAAGGTCTTCCTTTGCCGTTGGTTCACCCTCCAATGGCCGCCGCGGCCGGCGCGCTGCGGCCGGCGCACCGCGCTGATCCGATGGCAGGAGCCAGGTGCTTTTCCTGGTCTCCCATGGGGCTGCACTCCTATTTCTAATGTTGGATACTGGTGACCGCAGACATTAAAGATCCCTTTGCCTCTTTTCCAACCTTTCCAATTTAATAAGCATTTATCAGCTCAAGGCACAATCCTAGGCATCCTACAGGACACAAAGGATAACAAGGGCTTGATCTCGACCTTTAATTAGCTCATCTCTTATGAGAGAAGTACCAAACCATAGCTAAAAATCCTGAAAGCCTTACTGGTGAGTAAAAACTACCCGCTTGGAGCTTCAGAGGATGAAAACACAAACACCTTGTTGCTGATTTTTGATTCTACCTTGCCAAGTCAACTTGCCACCAGCACACAGTGAGCAGCTAATGAATGCTGCCTGTTTGCATGGTTAGCTTTTTAATCTGATGAAGAATTTCTAGCTTGATTTTCTAAAAACTTTTTTTTCCTTGCAGCTCCATTCCTAGATTGGACTTAATACTGTCCTCTTTCTTCAGCCGCTTTTGGCCAATATTTCATAAACTGTATTTTTACATATCTTATTGCTTATATTTTGCTTTAATGTTTCACATATTCTTCTTTTAAGAAGATTTATTGGCTGGTGCTGTGGCTTAATAGGCTAATCCTCCGCCTGCGGCGCTTGCACACCGGGTTCTAGTCCCGGTCGGGGTGCCGGGTTCTGTCCTGGTTGCTCCTCTTCCAGTCCAGCTCTCTGCTGTGGCCCGGGAGGGCAGTGGAGGATGGCCCAGGTCCTTGGGCCCTGTACCCGCATGAGAGATCAGGAGGAAGCACCTGGCTCCTGGCTTCAGATCAGTGCAGTGCGCTGGCCACAGCGTGCTGGCCGCAGCGGCCATTGGAGGGTGAACCAATGTTAAAGGAAGACCTTTCTGTCTGTCTACTCTGTCAAAAAAAAAAAAAAAAAAGATTTATTTATTTGAATGACGCAGAATCAGAGGGATAGGAAGGAGAGACAGAAAGAGATATAGAGATATAGAGCTCTTTCATCCATTGGCTCTCCCCACAAATGGCTGCAACAGCTGGGACCGGGCCATGCCAAAGCCAGGAGGCAAGAACTGCATCTGGGTTTCCCTCATTGGTGTGAGGGACCCAAGCACTTGGGCCATCATCTGCTGCCTTCCCAGGTGCGTTAGTGGGAAGCTGGATCAGAAACAGAGTAGCCAGGCCTCAAACCAGTGCTCCAATATGCCAGTATCACAAGCAGAGGCTTAACCTGCTGTGCCACGCCAGCCTTCATCCATTCTCAAAAATTAACACTGTGATTCCTCCTGGATATATTAGGATTCAAAGACCTTGATGACAAACACTGAGTGGGTTGCTAGCTCTCTTAGGTTAGCAGTGAGGCCGTGGTACAAGCACACTAGTTTACAGTGTGAGCGACAATCACTAACGCACCCACCTTACCTCATTCACGGACAGCACTGGGAGGTTGGTCCTGGATGGTTGCCTGGTCCTGGAAGCTTTCAGTGGTCTCTTGATTTGAGGAACGTCTTGTTTGGGAACAAAGGTTTCGGTTGATACAGATGAGTAATTCCTCCTTAATATTTTTATAAACCACTTAGAACCCAAGAAGTTTGGTTTGTGGGTCACTTTCCTGCAAGTATCCAATGACTTCAGGGTTGGAAGCTGCACTCTTTCACCCTGGCAACGTGCAATATTTAGTGGAGAGAACAGGCTTGTATTTAATATTTTCTCATTCATTCCCAGCATCTGAAACTTATTCAAACCACCAGCCGATGCATCAGTAAAGAACAAATCCAAGTTTTGACATATTGTCAGGGTGTTGCATGTTGTAGTTTCAAATTCCTTACGTGGACTTAACATCCAATGAATGGGTCTTCGGCACTGATGCGCTTTGGGTAATAGACTGTGAGATCCGGCTAAGGCTTGGAGAAGTCTGGCAGACATCACCACATCCCAAGCTAAAAGAAAATCAATTCAAAGTTTGAAGAGTTTTTGGTTTTGTTGATTTTGATTTTCACTTATCTGAAAGGCAGCCAAGGACACACAGAGAGCTCTGGAATCCCCGGGTTCACTCCCACATGGAAGCTGGTAACTGAACGTGGGTCTCCCACATGGATGGCAGGAACTCAACCACCTACGGGCCTCCCAGGGTGCACATTACCGGAAGTCAGAATCAGAAGCAGAGCTGGGACTTGAACCCAGGCACTGTGATACAGCATGCAGGTGTCCCAAGTGGCACCTAAACAGCTGCGTTAAACACCAGCCTTTAAAAATATATATATATATTTGTATTTCCCCAGATAAAAGCATATTTCTCTTAAAAATTTTTGTAGAACAGATACATCTTGACCTAATTCTAGTAAAAGAACAAGGTTAAAAAAATAAATATATGGGGCCAGCGCTGTGGCTCACTTGGTTAATCCTCCACCTGTGGTGCCAGCATCCCCTATGGGTGCCGGGTTCTAGTCCTGGCTGCTCCTCTTCCCATCCAGCTCTCTGCTATGGCCTGGGAAAGCAGTAGAAGATGGCCCAAGTCCTTGGGCCCCTGCATCCACGTGGGAGACCCAGGAGAAGCTCCTGGCTCCTGGCTTTGGATCAGCACAGCTCTGGTCGTTGTGGCCATCTGGGGAGTGAACCAGCAGATGGAAGACCTCTCTCTCTGTCTCTACCTCTCTCTGTAACTCTTTCAAATAAATAAAATAAATCTTAAAAATACAGCACTTTTCATGCAGTTTTGGCCTTCTTCCTGGAGGACAAGACTGTAAAGCCACTGACATGAAGTGGGACCCTTCATTTCCTTCATTAGCATATCGACATTTATCAGATCTGTGCTTTTCCCATACTGAGTCTACTGATCCAGCTTTTACAACCAGCTAAGCAGGAGCTGAAGGCAGGGGTAGATTTCCCTGCTACCGTGGCACGAAGACCTCCTTAAGGAGACTGCATTTGCATCTGTGCACTATACTTCAACTGAAGACAGCTAAAACAGGAATGAGGCTGAGGAAACACAGGAAATGTACCTGACTGTACAGGAGAGGTGGAAAGTACCGGAAAGACCATGCTGTTTCTTGCAGGGGAAATGCTTTTCAGGCTGGGGCAAGTCACAGAGGCATTCCACCCCCCAAATATTTACAGGGTAAAACAGATGTTAACTAAGCCCTGGGACCAGCATTGTGGCCGATCAGGTTAGGCCATTGCAAACTGGCATCCTACATGAGCAATGGTTCAGGTCCTCACTGCTCTTCTGATCCTGCTCTCTGCCAATGCACCTGGGAAAGCAGCAGAGGATGGTCCAAGTACTTGGGTCCCTGCCAGCCATGTGGGAGACCAGGCTGGAGTTCAGGTTCCCAGCTTTGATGTGGCCCAGCCCTGGCTGTTGTGGCCATTTGGGGAGCGAGCTAGCAGATGAAGATTCTTTCTCTGTAACTCTGCCTTTCAAACAATCTTTTAAGAAAGGACAAACATAGGGCAAGTATTGCAGGTGTCAGCTGGACTGCCTGCGTCTCACTCATATCTGAGTGCCAGTTCAAGTCCAGGTTGCTCCACTTCAAATCCAGCTCACTGCTGACAAGCACGGAAAGGCAGCAGGTGATGGCCCAAGTCCTTGGACTCCTGCCACCCACGTGGGAAACTCAAACAGAGCTCCAGGCTCCCGGCTTTGGTCCAGCCCAGCCCCAGCTGCTGCAGCCGTTGGAATTTAACCAGTGGTTGGAAACTGTCACTCTGATGTTCAAATAAATATATTTTTTGTTTTCAAGGGTAAGGAAAAATATGAGTCATGGTGAATTTAAGTAGAACATGCTCCAGGCTGCTTTCACAATTATCTTCAGCAGCTGGTGTTCTGTCTTAGTTCAATTAATTCTTGTAGCTCATCTCTGATTAGTACCATGCCTCATCACTTGAACCAGTGGGTTATTTATTTTTTTAAATTAAGATTTAATTTATTTGAAAGGTAGAGTTAGAGGAAAGGGAGATACTGAGAGAGGGATCTTCCATCGGCTGGTTCACTCCTCAAATGATTGCAATGGCCAAGGCTAGGCCAGACTGGAGCCAGGGCTTCTTCCGTGTCTCCCACGTGGGTGCAGGGGCCCAAGCACTAGGGCCATCTTTTGCTGTTTTCCCAGGTGCATTAGCAGGGAGCTGGATTGGAAGTGGAGTAGCCGTGACTTGAACCTGTGCCTATACGGGATGCTGGCATTGCAGCGGTGTGGCTTAACCTGCCATACCACTGTGCTAGCCCCAAACGTGAGTTTTCAAGAACGTAATTACAAGAACTTTTAGGACTGGTATTGTCACACAGCAGGTTGTCACCACTTGTGATGCCAGCGTCCGATATCTGAGCAATGGTTAGAGTCCCGGCTGCTCCGCTTCTGCTGTTTTTACAGAACACTGATATATGTTGACGGATATCAAACACTTATCTCTAAACCCATCTGAGAAGCATCAAGGATGCAAGGAGCTCAAAACTGCATTTCAGGCCGGCGCCGTGGCTCAATAGGCTAATCCTCCGCCTGTGGCACCGGCACACCGGGTTCTAGTCCTGGTCGGGGCACCGGATTCTGTCCTGGTCGCCCCTCTTCCAGGCCAGCTCTCTGCTGTGGCCCAGGAGTACAGTGGAGGATGGCCCAAGTCCTTGGGCCCTGCACCCCATGGGAGACCAGGAGAAGCACCTGGCTCCTGGCTTTGGATCAGCGCGGTGCGCTGGTCCGCAGCGCGCCGGCCACGGTGGCCACTGGAGGGTGAACCAACGGCAAAGGAAGACCTTTCTCTCTGTCTCTCTCTCTCTCTCACTGTCCACTCTGCCTGTCAAAAACAAAACAAAACAAAACAAAAAAACAAAAACAAACAAAAAACCCTGCATTTCTGAAATCTCCCTGTAAATAACAATCACATTCATATTTGCTAAGGCCACAACCCTGGAGTTCACCTTGGCTCCTGCCTTCATTCCCCATGACACTGGCCTTATTCGGTACCGTTCTCACAACCAGTGCCTGTCTTCTCCATGGGTTCTTCCCGCTGCTCTTCACTGCTCTCCCCGCTTCTCTGTCTTCGATAGATTCTTCTCCACACAGCATCCAAAGCCACCCTCTGAAAACCTAAGTTGGATGTTCTTTTTCCTTGGAGCAAAATTTGAAGATGGCCTCACACTTCGCTTACAATAAAAGCCAAAGCCCTTGAAATGGCCTGCGTGGCCCTAAAATGTCTGACATCGCCCACAGCTCTCTCGATTGCTCATTCTGCTCCAATCACTCTGGCCTCTGATCTTTGTACTCTCTCCCTGTGCCCCCCTCCCAGGGATCCACCTGGTTACTGCATCCCTTCTCTCAAGCTTTGCTCTCACGGCTCTGACTCAGTGAGGCTTAACCCAACCGCTTCACTTACCAGGTACAACCAGCACCCGTTCTCTATCTTCCTCCACTTCCTACTTCCCCATTACACCTAACATCACCTGCATACCTTTTCCAGCTTGCCAATTCATTCAACAAGCAGGGACTGGGCTCTTACCACGTGCCGGGCATTGTGCTAGTTCGCTGATAACGCAACTTTAAAGAAAATGGACCAAAACTTCCTATTTTTTGAACTTGGGCTTACATTGGGAGTTGCAGACAGTAAGCGTGGCAAATCACACATCAGGGACAATGCCGCCGAGACAAAATAGCAGCGGGAGGACAGATTTTCCGCTCTCCCTTCTAGAACGTGAGCGCCTCCCAGAGGGAGAGTTCTGTATATTATCACACCGTATTTCTGTGACATTAGCGCCCAGTGCATTGGCATAAACTGATTTTTTTTTTTTTTAAACACAAGACAGCTACTCAGTTCTTGGGCACGTCTCAGCTTTCTGAGAGCAACGACAGCAACCAGGAAAACGACTCCAGCTACGCCACCACCATTCAACGGAGAGGCGCGCTCAGCTTTGCAGCCGGCCTCCCAGTCCCTGCAGCGCCCAAGTATCTGACTCATCCTCGCAGCTACCGCGCTGCACTGGCTCTAAAACGGAGCTTCACCAGCGTCCACTGGCTGAGCGCCCTCCACTGCCAGCCAGGTAGGCCAAAGCTCGCTCACGGCGCATCGCAGCGGCGCCCGGAAACCTGCAAAGCCAGAGGGGGTCGGGGTGCCGGGAGCCGAGACCCCTGCCGCTGCGCGGGAGCACACAGGCTGCGCGGGGCAGGCGGCGCACTAACCTCTCCGCCGCAAAGGAAGAAGGAAGCGCCTGGGGCGCAGAGCTCCGCGGATGGACTGCGCTGGAAGAGCGCCCACGCGGCGGCCACTCAGCTCCGGTCCCCACAGCCAACCCTCTCCCCGAAGGGAACACCCTCCCAGCGCCCGGCACCGCGCAGGCGCAGAGAACTCCAGGCCCGGGCCGCGCGAGCGGCCGGCGCCACGTGACTGCCCCACCACGTGACCCGCGCGGCGCTGGCTTCTTCCGGTCCCTGGTTCCTAGTCCCTCCCGGTCCTTGCCTGCTTCCGCCTTCCGCCCGCTTCCTATTCCGCTCCTCACGTCTCCTCCCGTTGTCCCCGCCCTCGTCCCCGGAAGATTTCCCTGTCCCAGAGCCATCCGCTGCTTGTTTGTACGGTCACCAATAAAGTTTCTTCATTCAAAATCACTTTTTTTTTTTTAAAGCCACATCGCTCTCTTTCTGGGTTCCTTCGCGGCGGCCGCGGCTCTGCTGCCCCTGCCGCCGGTGTCGTGGGGCGTGATGGCGGGACCGCCGGCGTCTCTCTCCGGCCAGGACGTGGGGTTCGTCTCATTTTCGTTCGCCTCACTTCTGCGGGGCTAAGCCGGCCTCGAGGGGAGCCTGTGGGGGACCAGCGGTGGGCGCCCGCCGCCGGGCTCGGCTTTCGCCGGCGGCCGCGGGGAGCCCGGCGCGGCTTGGACTTGGCTTTGCAGGCGCTTCCTCGGCGGCAGCTTCCGTCCGTTTTAGTGAACTCGCCTTGGCGGGGTGGGGGTGGGGAATTAGGATTTTCCAGGGAAAATTGGGACTCCCAGGTCTGTTGAGAAACGCGTGTTCTTCCTTTTGCTGATCAGGTCGGTTGATACTCTCACAGCAATGTCTGTGCCCCCCGTAAATGTTCCGAGGCCCCCAGTGGGTGGCTGAAGCCTGGGAGAGTCTAGACCCTGTGGATGCTCTTACAGACCTGGGTGAAGCTTACCTGGCGAGTTAGGCTCAGGAAGAGGCAATAATAAACGAGAAAGTGGAGCCTAGCGTGCTGTGGCAAAGCTGTTGAAGGAAGACCTGCGTGTACCGCTTATGTTTGGAGTTTTCCGATTAACATTCTTCAGACCGCAGTCGATCGCTTCTAGGAAAGCGGAGGGGGAGGGGCTGCTGCGGTTTCCGACTTTTTCGGGCGCGTCGCCTGATCGATTCTAGATAGCACTGCGGACGGAGGCACACGAGTGCAAGGTCTGTGTGCATCGATGCAACGGCCCGGTCGATGTTGGAAACAGGTCCCTCAGAGTGTTGCGGGCGCCGCACCTGCCTGGGCGCCTGTCCGGGGTGAGGCCCGGGAGGGGAGGCATCTAGGGCGGCACCCCCAGCGTCCTGCGGACTCGGTGGTGAGTGCCTTCCTGGCTGCCTCGGGCCGCCCCCTGGCGCTGGCCTGGGTCTGGGGAAGGGGCTGATTCTTCACCACTGAAGCGAGATCTCAAGGGTGGGTGTCTGTCTTTGTCCCTACCCTCTTGGGTTATTCCAGTGTCACTTGGCTTAAGGAAGTGTTGCTTCTCTCTCTCTAGAGTATTAGTGATTTTAAAAAACAAGTTCTGATCAGAGTAACTACTCTGCATGCTAAAACCCGATTACCAATGTAGGATACTCAGAGCAGCACGGAATGAGAATATGCCTGTTTTGGCAAGTTTTTTCTTCAAGTTTTATAGTTGTCCTTTCAGGAATCCTTTTGAGGAAAGCACAAACAATAATTTTAAAATTGAATTAAGAATCATGAGTTTTCAGAAATGTGATGATCTCAGATTGAAATTGTAAATAGTTGATTTGGGTAAAGACTTTTTTTTTTTTTTTTAGATTTATTTACTTATTTGCAAGTCAGAGTTACACAGAGGGAGGAGAGGCTGAGAGAGGTCTTCTATCTGCTGGTTCATTCCCCAACTGGCCGCAATGGCCGGAGCTGTGCGGATCTGCAGCTAGAAGCCAGGAGCCAGGAGCTTCTTCCAGGTCTCCCACGCAGGTGCAGAGGCCCATGGACTTGGGCCATGTTCTACTGCTTTCCCAGACCATAGCAGAGAGCTGGATTGGAAGTGGAGCAGCCGGGACTTGAACCCATATGGGATACTGGCACCGCAGGTGGCGGCTTTACCCACTACTTCACAGTGCTGGCCCTGACTTCTTGGTTTTTTTAAAGAGTATCTTGTGAACATTTTTATTGTTACTTCGTCTCTGATGACCTGAAGTTACAAATCCTAGGTCTCCCAGCTGGGTGGCAGGATCCCAAGCACTTGGACCAGCTTCCTCTGCCTTTCCCATGCCGCTGTCAGGGAGCTGGGTCAGAAGTGGAACAGCCAGAACTCAAAACCGGCTCTCATGTGGAATGCCAGCTTTGCAGGTGGTAGCTTTACTGACTAAGCCACAATGCTGGCCTCTTTTGATTTTTTTTTTAAAAAGATTTTATTTTTATTTATTTGAAAGACAGTTACAGAGAGAGGTAGAGACAGAGAGGTCTTCCATCCGCTGGCTCACTCCCCAGATGACCACAGCAGCTGGAGTTGCACTGATCTGAAGCCAGGAGCCAGGACCTTCTTCTGGGTCTCCCACCTGGGTGCAGGGGCCCAAGGATTTGGGTCACAGCAGAGAGCTAGATGGGAAGAGGAGCAGCTGGGACTAGAACCGGCGCCCATATGGGATGCCAGCGGTTCAGGCCAGGGCTTTAACCCACTGCGCCACATCACTGGCTCCTCCCTTTTGATTTTTTAATGCAAGTATTTTTTTTACCTCCAACTTCATTTTTTACACTTAGAGAAAATCTCTTAATTTTTTGCCTGGGAGAACAAGACAGTAGGGAGCCTTAATTGTTTTAGGAGCAGATCTGCATAGAAGAGTCTACTGTGCAGCAAGGGAGACCTTTGAAAAGGATTAGAATAGACTAAAAATATAGACAGACAGAGAAGAGAGAGAAGTGGGTTCTTACATATCTTTAGTTCTCTGTGTTCTTCAAGCATATTTAAGGGTTTTAAGGCAAAGATAATTTTATATCAGTTACCTCATTCATCTTTCTAACCGTGTGAAGAATTGGGAGAGGAGCCTTACAGATTTCTAGAGCCATCTTTTCTTGTCCTGTCACAGTTTTAAAAGTAAGTTTATTTTTAAGTTTTAGAATTTGAATTTCAGGGGCTGGCATTGTGACAGCAAGTGAAGCCACTGCCTGTGCTGCCAGTGCATGTCCAGCTGCTCCAGTTCTGATGCAGCTCTCTGTTAATGGCCTGGGAAAGGAGGTGGGAGATAGTGCAAGAGCTTGGGGCACTGCCACACACCTGGGAGGCCTGATGAAGCTCCTGGCTTTGGCCTGACCCACCCTGGCCATTGTAGCCATCTGGGGCATGAACCAGTGGATGGAAGGTCTCTCCCTCTGTGTCTCTCCCTCTCTCTCTGTAGCTCTGACTTTCAAATAAATCAATAAATGTTTAACAAATTTTAGCAGTTTGCTACATTTACTTATATGTAGACTTTTATATATGTATATACACACATATCCAATTTTTTTTCTTGGAAACACAGATATTTCACACTATTCAACTAGTTTCTGATTCAGGAAAATGAGAAGAATAGACAGACTCCAGAGAGAACCCAGCATTTAAAGCACAAACTACCTACCTTCCATGTCACACCAGTAACTTTTCCCAAAAACATTCCTGTATCAATATAATAGGCAGTACTAGCTTACCTCCCCCCCCCTTTGGTATATTATTCATTTATTCACATTAGTGTAGTATAAATTCAGTTGATTGGAATTTTGGTAACTATGGATTTATCCAAGAAAAAAGGCCATTACAGTTTTGGACCTGCCATGATACACAAGAAATTAGCATTGTAATAGCTTGTTGAGCTGACACTTTTATCATAATGAAATATTCTTCTGAAGTCTTATTTCTCACCTTAAACTCCACTTTAATTGGTATAATATTTGCATAATATACAATTCTTAGAAGTCATTTTTTGCAGCACTTTAGAAAGATCATTTCTTTACCTTTATAATTAATTTATTTTTAACTAACTTTTAGTAGATACAATTTTTTTTTTTTTTTTTGACAGGCAGAGTGGACAGTGAGAGAGACAGAGAGAAAGGTCTTCCTTTTGCCGTTGGATCACCCTCCAATGGCCGCCGCGGCCAGTGCACTGCAGTCAGCGCACCGTGCTGATCCAAAGGCAGGAGCCAGGAGCTTCTCCTGGTCTCCCATGGGGTGCAGGGCCCAAGCACTTGGGCCATCCTCCACTGCACTCCCTGGCCACAGCAGAGAGCTGGCCTGGAAGAGGGGCAACCGGGACAGAATCCGGCGCCCCGAGCGGGACTAGAACCCGGTGTGCCGGCGCCGCTAGGCGGAGGATTAGCCTAGTGAGCCACGGCACCGGCCCTGTAGATACAATTCTAAGAATATAATGACTCTCTCTGGTTTACCTTCTAATACTTGTGTGAAAAGGAATTTTAATTTCTTTTTTAAAGATTTATTTAAGAGGAAGAGAAAGAGGTCTTCCATCAGCTGGTTCACTCCCCAAATGGCCACGATGGCCAGAGCTGGGCTGCTCCGAAGGCAGAAACCAGGAGCTTCTTCCGGGTGTCCCACAAGGGTGCAGGGGCCAAGCATTTGGGCCGTCTTCCACTGCTTTCCCAGGCATATTGGCAGGGGACTGGATCAGAAGTGGAGCTGCTGGGACTCCAACCGATGCCTATATGGGATGCCAGGGCCGCAGGCGGAAACTTTACCTGCTATGCCACAGCATGGGCCCTGGAAGTTTAATTTAAAGGAAGTGTTACAGAAACTAAAAGATGGCCAACCTTCTAGTGTCGGTGCTACTGAGTAATATTTTGTATGTGACTCTCTTCTAGATCATTTGCATACCTTACAATTAAGGATAGAATACCACAGATCTTAACAAAGGTCATTGATACATTGCATCGACATAAAAGTGAATTTTTTGAGAAACATGGGGA